GGTCCGACGGTCATCTCAAGTACATCGCCCCAACGAAGTATGCTCTATGCGGCGATCAGCTCGACCCGCGCCTACCTCTGCACTTGGCCGTAGCCGAAGGGTTCGCGCAGCTGACCAAGCGCATTCTTGGCTGTCGACCAGACCTCGCGTCACAAGTCCTCATCTTCTTGGCCTTCTGGACAGACCACCTCGAGATCGCAGAGCTCCTCTTGCATGCGCGCGAGACCATGCCCGAGCTCTCTTTTCGCGACATTCGCCAGAGTAAGGCTTGGTCAAATCATTGATGGAGTGTGATGACAGCGACGACGTAGACAACTCGGCACGGTGCACTGCGTACCATAAGAGCTTGCAATACGCTGTGGCCAAAACGCTGGCTCGAGACGACTCGAGAGGCCTTCTTTTGCTCCAGCGCTTCGGCCCGCGCCCCGACGATTTGAAAAACTATGAGCGCCGGCTCGCGATCCAAGAGGCGACGCTCGCCAACTTGACGCTGGCACTCGACCTTTTTCCGTGGCTTTTTTACCCAAGTCTCATGGACGATATTGCAGGTCGAGGCTTCTTGCCGCTCGTGCGCTTGCTGCACGAACGCGGTGTCGACTGCTCGACAGACGCAATGGACAAGGTAGCGGCCAACGGGCATTTGGAGGTCGTCTGCTTTTTGCATCTGTACCGACGGGAGGGTTGCACCAGCTACGCCATGGACATTGCTGCCGGCAACGGTCATCTGGACGTTGTCACGTTTCTTCATGTCAACCGGTCCGAAGGCTGTACGGTCGACGCTCTCGACAGGGCTATCTCCAACGGCCAACTTGACGTTGTCCGCTTCCTCCTCGAGCACCGATTTGAAGGCGCATCGCTCAATGTTCTCGACGATGCTGCTGTGAATGGTCACTTTGGCGTCGTCCAGTACCTCCATTCGCTCGGCTCGTTTGGCTGCACAGTCGGCGCCGTCGACGGCGCAGCGCGATGCGGACATTTGGAGATCGTCACGTTTCTCTTGACGCACCGAAGCGAAGGCTGCACCCTCGATAACGTAGTCGACATCGCTATGGCGCACGGACAGCTGCAAACGGCCGAGTACCTCCTCTCACTCGGGTGCCCGTTCCCGACGTCAATGAGTCGCTGTGACGAAGACGCCTTCCGCAAGCCCGAGATGGTTGGCGTCATGCAGCTCTTGATTGCACGCGGCTATTCGATGGAAAGCAAATGGTTGTTCAAAGCGTGCGAGGTCAACAACGTACCGCTCGTGCGTTTCCTGTGCTCGCACTTGGGGACTGCCTCGCGCCGCAAAGCGCTCCATACAGCCATGTGGGCAATGGCGTGGGACGTTGTGCGCTATCTCTTGGCCACCGACACGAAGGAGGTGTCGGCACGCACTCAACTCAAGCAGGCGCTATGCTCTGGCAACTTTGAGGCCGCGGCGCACATTTTGCAGGACCAGCCAGGGCTTAGCAGCGCCAGTCGCTTGAAGGGATGCCTCAACTTGGAGGCGACGCGATATCTGCTCTCTGCCGGTGACTTTCGCGAGTGTCTCGTTACGCTTGCAGGTCGACAACAGCACGTGACCGCGAGCAAGAGCTTGCTGCCGTACTGCATGCACGCGATCGACCATCTCGACAACGTCAGCTTTCTTCTCGATCTGCTCGCGCTGCCCAACCGCCGCCGTGCAACGATACTCCAGTTGATCACGCCTGAGCTCCTGGACCAAGGAAAGAAGGCCAGCGAATCCACCCAATTGGCTTCTTGCGCGGCAGCGCGGGCATCAGCCCAGCTGGAGGCGGGTGAGGTTGTCGACTGGGCGCTAGCGCTCGTCATTGGTCATCTTCACGTGACCAATGCGACGCCGACCATTGAGCAGCTCGAGAAAAAGATATCTTTGGTTCAGGACGGTCAGCTCCAGATGCAGCTGACACGCCAGCAAACGCAAGCGTCCCGTTAGCTCAAATAGCAAATGGTGACTGGATCCGCAAGCAGAGACCGATTTTGCAACGAAAGCAATGGGCCCCACCATCGGGCAAAAAGAGCACAGCACGCCGATAGCGTCCTCTTGAGAATGAAGATGTACTCAGTCCATGCCTTGTTCGAGCCTACTAGTAGTATTGAGCAGTAGATGGCAGCGACATCGCCGACGCTGCCTCTTCTTCTCGCAATCTGCCTGCATAATGGTCGGGTTGTCCGCTGCACATAGCTCACGCCACTGGCTTGTAGAGTCTCATTGCGCTCGTTGCGCTTT